TCCGAGGAAGGTAACAAGTTCTCCAGTACGACTCTCAGCCCCAAGATCTTTGTCTGATTCATGAAGGGGATCCCGTCAGGCTTTATACCTCTTCCCAGGATCTTACAAAATCAAAAATAGCTTTATGTAGTCACTTTATTTGTAAAAATGAACACACATTCTCCCAGGCCTTAAGGCATGAAACATCCTATTCTTCCATGATATAGGAGCTTGGGACAAAGCCCTGATCTGGGGTCACCTAAGGCTGATAGTTCAGAGCCTGCACTGACAAGGCGCCCCCAGCTCCTGGGGAAGTTCTTTGAGAGACCTGGGGCGGGGAGGGGGCGGGGTGGGGGTGGGGGTGAGGGAATGCAGATGCTTTGCATGGCTTTGCTCTTAGTCAGGGAAGGCCCAGCCCCTCACCCCCTCCCCTCCCTTTTCCTGCCAAGCCTGTAAATTGCCCCCGGCCCAGCCACAGGCTGACACAGACACAGGAGACACACACCACTTGTACAAACCATTCATTTTATTTCCTGTATTGGGTTTATACAAACTTGCAAGATACAAATGCAGAGCTCACTGGGGTGCTAGCTAAAAAGAATGTTGCTGGAAGGAGAAAGCAACCTGTCACCTATTTCCGTCAGGACAGCCTCCCACCCCAAGGGCCATGGGAGCCGTGGCTAGAAGGATGCTAAGGGGATGCTACAGCTGTGTGGGCCCCTGACAGATGCCCTCTGCTTACCTAACCTTCACTCTTCTTCTAAGGTCACTTTTATACTAAAGAAAGACAACTGAGATCGTACATTTCCTTGTATGGTTTATTGTCTAATACTAGCAGATCAAATTGGCCCCAACATGTGCATAAATAGATATATGTGTATATATTTATTATTTTTTCTTAGTCTTACGAGCTGCCAGGTGGAGGGAGCCTAAAGGGGAGGGAATAGAGTCCTTCTTGCTGTCGTCAGCCCTGCCCCAAGAGCATGCTCTCACGAGAGCAGGAGAGCAGATGCGCACAGCTTGCAGCCTCAGGACATCTTTAAAGTGGCGTTAGCAGGATTTGATGGCAGCCTCTTGGTTAGTGATCAGGGAGGTAATGTGCTATTCCGGAAGGCCCTAGATTGGTCACTAGGGCTTGCCCCAGGTGGGTCACTTAGCCCTGGGCCTCCATTTGGGCCCAGTTCATTCATAGCAAGATGCCCTAGGCTGGGGACGGGGGTGCCAGTATAAATGCCCAAGTTGGGGGGGGTCCGATTTCAATGCTGGCCAGGAGTTCCATGCCAAGCCACCCAGCCAAAACTTTGATTCCAGACACGGACAAAGACATCCAAGGCAAGAGCCCCTGGCCCATTCTGATAGTTAAGTGTTTGGAAGGCTAGGCTGGTGTATTTCAGTATCCCAGCGGCTGCCTGCTGGAGAAAAGGCCTGGGGGGGGGGTCTCTTGGGCAAGGCTGAGATGTTACACTGTCTGCGGGACCCTCCTCAGCCCAGGGGCTGATTTCACAGTCTGGATGCCAGACTGAGGTACCCTCCCCAGAAGAACAGCCTCCAGAGAGAAAAGGTCACAGAGAGAGACAGATGCCATGGATGTGACCCAGACTCGGGGGGGGGGGGATCAAACGAAGGAGTGTAAGAAGTCCAAGGAACTCGTAAGGGTCTGTGCCAAGGAACAGCGATGGCACCAGTGAGCCCAAATCGTTTCCTTTCGGCTTTGCACTGTGGCGTAGGTCTGCCAGCAGCCTGACATGGGCGGTGCTGTTTAGCACAGGCAGCCATTAGCGGGTCTGCCCTTTCCGGCAGGGTGGCACAGGGAGGGGGGCCAGCAGCACATGGCAGGGGCTGCTGTGTGCCGACATGGGTGTACTTGTGTGCACACAACTGGCCCATGAGTAAACGTTTCCTTCAAGAAGATTCATATCAGCTAATCCTTAGACTAGGACTTCCAAGAGAACCTCCAGCCCCTGGCAAGGTTCTCTCCGGGAGCCCTGAGGCCAGCCCTTCAGACTGGGTGACAGAAAGGAAGCTGCTGGGGGTGAGGGTTGCTACCCCAGTCTCCTCACATCATTTGCCAATTCCATTCAGACATTGCACATCTTGAAAATAGATTTGCTTTTAACAAAAGCGGAAAATAGATCTGTCTTAAAATAAGTCTTTCCTCTCCTCTTCTTTGGATCAAAGGCAAGGACTACGGCCTCAACGTGCTCGGGATGGTGTGGAAAGCTTGGGAGAGAAAATGGGCCTGGGCAGGAGCTCTAGGAAAGGATCCGACATCCAAACATATATATTACATATATATATATATAGTATGTATAATCTTCATGAAACACATATTAAGGCATGTAAAGCAACATAAAGAGCCAGCTTTATGAAATAACAAGTGAGAGAGAGGTGGCAGAGGCGTAGACATTATTTCTTGGTATTTTACATGTATTTCTAAAAATATCACTTAAAAAAAAAAGGAGAAACAAAGGGGAAGGCATGGAAGGCTTTGAAAATCTGTTTCTTATGGATGGAGACAGATGTGGGGAAGGAGAGGGTTCCTTGGGAGCTAATCCCACCTGCCAAGTCAGTAGGAGGGAAAGAATGGATTTGGGTACTTAAGCTGCACTGAAGATGGGAGACAGAGCCAAAGGCCGTGTTCAAAAAACCTGCTAGACATGGAGACAGGTGGAATGCCCCCAGTCTGCAACCCCTCAGAAGCATGAGAATATCCTAAGCACCTAGAACAGTGCTTGGTACATAAAAGGTGCTCTATAAATATTTGTTGAATGAACTGTCATCTTTACTTGCATATGAATCAGTAACTGTCTCAGCTGTGAAGGAGTGGAGAGGAATTGGTGGAAGATAGAGTGGTGGTTCTTGGGGCCACTGGAGGTCAGGCTGACGTTTCCAGGCAGCAACTCTGGCAAAGAGAAGGCCTAGAGGACAAGGTGTCTTCTGCTTCACTCTCCTCACTCCTATGTGGCTACATTCGTGTCCAGGTGGGCGGAGCAAAAACGGGAAGAACGGGCTTTGCTTCTGCCTCTCTTCCCCACTGGCCTCCCTGGGTAGAAGGGAGTCCTTCCGTACAGCCTCATCTGGGATGCCTGGGATGAAGGTAGGGTCCTAAAGTCTGGGCTCCCAGGTTAAGGCCTCGCTCCCTGGCCCCAGCTGGCCCACAGCACATTCCAGGGGGAAGGGAGGAAGAAAGTATCATAAAATGGGTTAAGTGAAGCCCCAAGACTGACCACATCCCACATAAGACAGGTCCTTCTCTCTGCGTCTGACCCCATGATGGGGAGGCAGACATCAGGCCTGGATCTAGAAAGAGCCATCTCCCACCTGCCTCTACCCAACTCCCCTTCACTCCACACCTCCATCCTAACACCAAGCACTTCAGCTGAAGGCCGCCATGTGCTCTGCTGGAGAGTCCTCCTCGGGCCATGAGCCTGCACCCAGCTGATCCTGGGGTGACGATGGGAGGAACAGAGGTGACAGTCTGGCACAGTACTTGGCGCTGACCTGAGGCCAGCCCTGGGGAGACCCATCCCAGACTCCCTTCCCATTTCCTTCTGCTTCCTTTTTACTTGCAAATGGTCCTTCTGCTTCCCCAGTCCTCCCTTTCTCTGCTACCCCATCTCAACCTGTCCTCATACACTGCACAGACCTGCCGTTCTCTCCCCAGCCAGCACTGTCCCTCTGGGAGCCGAGGGGCCTCTCCTCATCACTCATCATCTTGTCTTTGGCTCAAGCAGAGTGGTCAGTCTCCATTGGACCCCAAAGGAGCACCCATAAGCAGAGATGTGACAAAACCCCGGGACAGCAGGGTGGGGCTTGTAGGGGAAGGAGATGACAGCAGGTGATGTCCTCGGTGTCAAGAGGGGCTATAAGAGGCAGAGTGTTCATCCCCTCTTCACCGCTAGTCCTAACCTAAGAGAGCCCAGGACATTCTCCCCACCAGGGCATGTTCTCCACCAGGGAATGTTCCAGTAGGGTCATCACAACCCCAGCCAGAGCCAGGCCTGGGCTCCCTGTGACGCGGGCATCGGAGAGGCTGGTGCTCTGATCCATGCCCAGCCTGGATGGGCCAGCCGCCACCTCAGGCCCTGGTCCAGGACCACTGTCTGAGTAGTGAAGGCTTCAGGACTAGGCGTGGGTGGGTGTGTGGACACTGAGGTATCCATACTCCTCTCAGTAGCAACCCCTGGCCCCCAGCCTGGCTCCCTGCAGCATTCCCACGGGGCCGCAGGGGCAGGGGGCCAGGGTGGGGAGGCAGGACCTCGGGTGGCAGAGGAGCACTTCAGAATGTGGCTCTGTGGAGCTTCACAGCATTGGCCTCAGCCAGGGCTTGCACTAAAGAAAAGAGAAATGAGGATGAGAAGGTGCTGAAGGAGGAACAACGATTCCAGCCAACCTTCCCAGGGAGAGAGAATGTCTCGTCTTGGAAACACCTGCAGAAACCCACCCTGCTCCCTCGACCCTGAAAAGGGGGAACGAATCAACAGAAGTCAAAGTTCTTTTTCTCCTTGCCTAATATGGAGTGGCTGTTTCTTAGGGTGGGGAAGAGGACACAGTCTTTGGCTCTAGTTGTCCAACGTTATTTTCATCTACAATAAAGTCTAGTAGTGGAGCAACAGCTTCTAGGGGCTTCTAAGAGCTTCTGGGGCAGGAACACCGTGTACCTTAACACATGGAAGCCGTGCTGGCCAAGAGGAGATATACGGGTGTGGTGTCAGGGACAGGCGAGGTCTCAGCTCTGTTCCCTGTCAGCTTCTGAAGAAGCATAGCCCCTTGGCATTGCAATGTCCAAGAAGCAGCCCTGCCAGCCAGCTCCAGCACAGCACTGCAGAGGGATGCTGGCGGGCTCAAGCGAATGGATGGGTGGATGAATGGACGGATGAGGACAGAGCGGCACAGGGCCACGCGAGGGTGAGGAGAGAAGCAATGCCAGATGAGGGAGTGGATGGCTCAGTGGGGGTGAGGGAAGGGGGCCCACTCCCTGGGGTGGATGAAATACAGTAGAAAAGTGCTTACGTCAGAGCTCAGACCCGCATGGTATGGCTGCTGTCGGCGTCCCGTGGGGATTCAGACGATGGGGGGTTGGCTGGTGGAGTCGGGGAGGCAGGGGAGGTGGGAGGGCTTGGGGTGGCACATTGCACTGGAAACAGAAATGAACAGGGAGTGAATAGGGGTAGGCGGGGTGGTGGTGGGGAGGCTGGGCACTCAGAGCAAGTGAGGCCCCTCCTCAGGGCCGGGGAGCAAGGCAGGGAGGCAAGCAGAGAGGAGAGCTGAGCTTGGGAACTTGCTCAAGCCGAGGGAAAGCTGTCCTCGTTCCTAGGGTGCCATGGCGGACAGCATGGACCCCAGAGAAGACCTGCTGAATCCAGGCTCTGCTAAGAACCAGCGTGACCGCGGGCGAGGCCCTGCCCTCCTGGGCCAACCGCTCCCTGCCCCATCCATGGAATGGGGAGCTTCACACACCTCTCAGCTATTGTGAAGATAGAAGGAGGGAGCGGCATTTACACCCGGTGATATTGCTAATGATAATGATGAATAGTGCAGTAAAATCCTACTAATCCAAATCATCAGGCCCCCATTTAATTAACAGATGGACGTGATGTGATCACCATGTGAATCAATTCCATGGAAATGGAGGCTTCAGATGTGCTCAGAGTGAATTCTGTTAACTTAGACACGGTCAGGGGCTCAATTTGAGACCCCCGTTTTCATCAATCCGGTAAAGGCAAACTTCAATCCAACCCCCGCCTCCCAGCAAATCGTTACAAGTCTTAAAGTGGTGACGTTTGAATTAACACGATTTTACTCTATTATCATTGTTATTCAGTGTTAAGAACGGCAAAGTGGAAGGACGATGAGAAGGGGAAGTGTATTGTCAGGGACAAATCGACGCACTCTCCAGGCCCTGGTGCATCCTCAGTGTTGCAGGGAGGCAGGGGGGTGGCAGAGAAGAGCCTGTCCTCAGCCAGTGACACACTGCAATTCCTCCCACAGAGCCACCCCCACCCTTGCTCCCACCCCGACCCAGACCTCACCACCCTCCCTGCCCTCTGTGCAAGACCAAGGGCCACTGCAGCTTTTGCCATCACATTTACACAGACACTCACGTGGGTACGTAGCGCACGCCGCTCTAGCATGGACTGTCTGCCTACACAGAGTGCATAGCTTGTGCATGGGATCCGGCAACACCATACCCTTACCCCCGCTGCACACAACTCAGGTGTCTCTGTGTGTGTGTGTGCACTTCCAAACCTGTGCCCTTCCACATGGCCTAACAGACGTGTAACTTTACACACAAATACATCCACAGCCGCTTTCAAAACACATTCGTCGGCATGTCCATATCCCTGGCCCAGTGGTTAGCTGTCTGGCAGCCTCAACTTCTAAAATAGTCACGAAACCAAAAACGAAGCAAGGAATGCGTCATGGCAGCCCGAGCGGATGCTACAGCATAGATGCAGCAAAGTTCTTGAGCCTTACTCACAGGGCAGGCCCTCGGAGGCCAGTGACTCTTATACACAATTCTAACAGGTGCGGACTTGCTGGGTTTCTAGCCCACAGATTAGACACAGGAAAATTAGAAGGAGAGGAATTGGGAGGCCTGCTGATGCCTATAAGAAGGCCCAACTAGAGAGAGAAGATCTTTTGTAAAAAGTAGTCATAATTACTTTAAAAGTGTTAACAGTTGGGGTACCTTTGGGATCGCTACAATTAGACCTATACCCATCAAATCCCTAAGGGCATCCCTATAACCAAACGAAATAAACAAAAAACCATATCTATTGCTGTCAAGTCGATCCCGACTCATAGCAACTCTATAGGACAGAAGAATAGTGCCGCCCCATAGGGTTTCCAAGAAGTGGCTGGTGGATTCGAACTGCTGACCTTTTGGTTAACAGCCAAACACTTAACCACTGTGCCACCAGGGCCCCAGCCCTGTAACAGGTCAGCAAAGTAAGGATATTTGTAACCATACTAAAAGAGGAAGAAAAGCTTAAATTATGTAAATATAATAACTTTATATTAGGAATAGATCCATCAATATAGTTAAAATACACTTACGCAGCAGATGTCTATTGGACCAGTGTGATATTACAATGTGTGCAATCAAAGTGCTACCATACCCGCACGCGTAAATAATCGGTTGCATGTACTCATGGACAGTCTTGAGACCGCACTCTCTCCCATTCTGCATGTATTCACACACAGATATATGTTCACAAGTATTGCAATATATATACTGTACACAACATATACATAAATATGTTTTATTGACCCCCATACTACAAAAAAAGCCCATCACACATAAATACGTGCCTTCATAAGCACTATGTCCACCCATACATTGTATACTGACATTCATATCCATCTGCACTCCAACGCCTTACCCAGTACTCATAAGTAATGGGCTTCCACAGAACGCCCATGTTGCACACATACACAAGCACACATACATACTCCTAGATTCACACTCAAGTATTCTCTCCACCCACATACGACACATTTGAATACACACCAATACAGGTGTATTTACAAACATTACCCTGTATAGACTACATGTACATGACATACATGCCACACATAGAAACTCAAAAATGCCACGTTGTCCCACACACTACATACTTGAGTTCGCACATCCCGTGCGTATTGCAAACACTGCACTGTACCTCACTGATTATAAGATCTGTGCCACACACCCACACTCCGGCACTGAACACCACATCCTGTGCCCACTGCACGCTGTCCTCACGACCTGTGCCCGGCACCCCATACACAGCGTTCTGGGCATGAACCCATGCCCACACTACATATACCCAGAACAGCCCTTGCTGGCCTGGCAGAGCTGCAGCTCTGGGAATCTGGGCCCTAGGCCGGGGGCGCTGGGGACAGTGGGCTAAGTCTGAGGTCTGGCCCTGCCACAGCCGTTTTTCAAATAGTTGGGGTTTTGGCAAAAGCCAGGTGACTGCTTGCTTTCAGTGCACAGGCCTGAAATGCAAGCCCGTGTGTATCAAGGGGGAAATCTGAGAGGCCGGGTGGATTTTGTTTTCATGGAAACTTTGGCTGGAGAACTGTAGTAGACAGAGCCAGGGGCTGGGACCGGGGCAGAGCGAGGCGTTTTTAACATAGCGTTGAGCATGTTGCCCCCTTGAAACAGGAAGTTGCCTTTTGCCCAGAGCATGTGGAATTTGATCTTTGGAAAGTTCAAGTTTATTTTGCAGCTAACCTACAGGGAGGTTCAGCAGAGGCCTCCCTGCAGCCAAACTGGATCTGCTGCCTTTGGGCCGCAGGATGGGGCTCTCTGAAGCCCATGCCTTCTCTTCCTCTCAACTCCAGCCCAGCTGATAGCCTCTCTGAAATTCCTGCGGGGCCTTTCCCGGGCCACTCATTCGACCATCCATTAAACCCTAACTGCCAGGAGGTTCTTCTTTAGAGCTCACTTATATCCCCTTCGGTTTCTGAAAACATCCATGTTTAAAATAATTAGAAAAATTACAAATGGTTCCTAGTTCTACTTCAGCTACTGTATTGCTATTTCAACTACTCCACCGCCATCACCGACACCACTACTATCACTACGGCTACAGTGGGCTAGCATTTATCGAGCACTCGCTAAGTGCCAGGCACGGTGCTAGGTGCTGAACACACACAGTTTCTGGTCCTCATGCCACCAGACATGGAGGCAGGTCTTTTGATCTGAATTTTACAGATGAGGAGATGGAGCCTCAGAGAGCCAGGATGTGAACCCTCATCTACCTGATTCCATAATCACCAACACGGAAGACCATCCCTCCCACTGTGTCCCTACCCACAGTTCTTATCAGCCTGTGGCCTGACTCTTGCCTGGGCACACCTGTAACTCTTGCCTGCATACACGTCTGTCTCCTCTACCAAAGTCATCATGGCTTCCTCCAGGGTCATCCCTCCTGACTGTGGTCTTCAAAGCCTCAATCCCACTCTACCTCTTGATCCTTACCACCGTTTCTCTTTCTGATGAGGAATATTCAGTCTCCCAGGCCCCATGGCTTAACCCTGTCTTTCCACTTCCTCTAGCCCTCCCATTCACATACAATCTTTCGTTCTTCAGAGTCCAATGACATTCTCACCTATTCCGGAATGATAATTCACACTGAGTGGAAGTTAATCCTGTTGACTTCGACCCCATCGGGGTCTACTCAGAACCACTAGTTTTTGAATCAGTGTGAAGTCCGTTCCTCATACTCTGTTTTCTTCACAGAAAAGTGGGTTTGGGTCAGCAGCCAAGGTGGTGATTGTATTACACATAACTCTGGTTGCCTGCACTGCCTTCTCTTTTTATTCTTCCTATTTACTTGCAGCAAGAACAGGAAGTAAAAAGATATGCCCGCCTTTTCTCCACAATCGGTCAATGTTTTTACTTATCTTCCCCAAATCAAGCTCAGTTATCACCTCTTCTCTGTGCCTTTCCCTGACCTGCCCAGGCAAGATGGCTCCTTGCATGGCCTCTGGCCAATTCCTCCACAAAGCATCTGTGAGGACGACCATAGCTCTGAGCGCCTGGATGTCAGCAACTCTGGACCCTCTGCATCCCCCTGAGCCTAGCACAGTGCCTGGTGCTCAATAAAAGATCATCCTGACCGGGAGGAACATAGTCCTGGCCCTGCACCTCTCTGTCCCTGCCCCCCTCTCAGCGCTGTGTTTCCTCCCCTACACCTGGTCAGCCGGCCTCCCTGGCGGAGCGAGGCCCAGCCCCTCTCACCAGACAGCATGCGGCCCCTGCGGGAGGCCTCGGTCGCCAGGGCGCAGGAGATTTCAATCCGCTTCTCCTGCTCCTGCAGCTGGCTCTCTGAGTCCTGGGGTACGTCCACAGAGTCCCCCTCGCCGATGGGCACCACGTTCTGCATACTGAAGAGGCACAGACACATAGACATGGAGGGAGGGACGGGATGGTCCAATTGGCTTGGGGGCCTGCAGACTGAGGTCGGCGGGGAGGGCCGGGGCCTGTGACTGTGCAGCCTCTGGTTCCCGGTAAGGCTGTCCCCAGGTGAGTGGGACCCGGCAAAACACATGCTGGGACCCCTACCCTCAGCATTGTCAAATGAATTAAGAGGTTCACGTGAACATGTAGGCAGCCTTGAAGGGGAAAGAAGTCAGCAGAGGGCAGCCCACCAGGTTTGCTGTGATGTTACTGTGCGCGTGGCACAGCAGGTCTTGTTGGCACCAAATGGCAGCATCACCCCTGCCAGATGTGTGGGCCCAGCCTGCTGACTCGAGCCACTGCCTCAATCTGTTCTCCCCTGGGGAGGCTCAATGCCCCAGTGACAGGGGTCAGGGGTACTGGATTCAGTAGCACTAATGCCCCAGGCATCCTAGGTACCAGGGTGGGCAGAGGAAATGGAGGGCCACCTAGGCCTGTTACCTGGATTTGGCAATGAGTGTCTTGATCCTCTCCACCTTCTTCTGCTTCTCTTTCAACTCCTCGGGGCTCAGGGGTGTGTCAGGCTCCAGGTCAATGTACCGTTCGGGGATGAGGACTTTGTCTGGGGTGGAGAGCTGTGGAGGGACTGAGGTCACCACTCGCATCCGTACCTGAGTTTCTCCCCCTGCTCCCCTCCTGGACTCCATTCACCTCCTTATTGATGTCGACATCATAGTGCTGGGGCTCCAGCTCCATCTTGCGAAGCCGGGCAATCTCCTCCCGTGGTGTCTCGTAGGCCTGCCCACCAGGCTCCTCTGCCCGCAGGGCTGCCTCCAGGTTAGAGATGTCCACCTCATGGATGCTGCGGTGACGGCGCACCTAGGGGACAGCACTGTCAGGATCACTCAGGGCCTTTATCCCCACTGCCAGCAGTACCTTCACTGTTACCCATAGCACCAGGCAGCCCTAACCATGCCTGTGTCATCACTGTCCCTGCACCAGCACACCCAACCTGGCCACCACGCCACTGCCCCCGACTGCTGAGCTATCCTCCTTCCATCCTGCTTATCCAAAGCGTGCCCAACTTCAAAGCCCCAGAGGCAAACATCTCATCAATATCTCTTATCAATACTTGTCACTCTCCATGGAGCTACATCGTGCATTCACATTCTGAGCCATATATTTTAGGTAGTTGAATCACTTTGTATTGTATTGATCTCCAATTGTTTCTTATTATAGAAGTTCCAATCTGCCAACTAGAATGTGAACTTTTTGGGGGTAGAACTTAGGAGTTATAATTTTTCTGCATTTTTGAAATTCAGTGGAAAGAAAAATGAGGCAGATGCCTTGGGCTATTCCTAGCTCTGTCACTTAATAGCTGTGCGGCCTAGAATCATTTAATTTCTCTTGACTTTGTTTTCTCAGAACAGGGATAGTAATTCTTGACGCAATGTTGCTGAAAGCATTAAACAAGATAACATGAAAGGGGTTTGTAGCTGCCTTGCACCATGCAATAGTGAGTATGCCCAGCCCAATGCTAAGCACAGGACACTCTAGAAATACTTATAAAGGATGGCTATTTCTGGGTGGTAGATTTTATACTATTCTCTATTAACTGGGTTTTTAACAATTCATCTCAACAAAAATAATCATCACTCTGTTTTGTGAGTTATTTTTCTTTAAACAGAAACAAGGAAACACTTGTTGAAATAATTCTCCTTCCCAGTGGTGAGAACCCTCCCCCAGTTCTCCCAGGTACCCAGTGTCCCTTCCCTCTCAAACCTCCCTGACCCAGGCAGGCTGTGCCCTGGGAGTGGGCAGTGTTGGCAGATGCCAATCCCACTTCTATGAGTGGCTGGGAGGACCATACCACTTTGTAGGTGGGCCGGGCGCTGGTGTCAGGGGCCGGGCTGGCCGGAAGCTGCAGGCTCCTTCGCTTCTCCTTCATGGAGCCACTCTGGTGCCGCCGCATGCGGTCAATCTGCTCCTCCACACTCATCTTGACCTTCCCTTCGCCAGGGAACACAGCACTCTTGGGGCGCTCCTGCTGCAGTGAGAGAGTGGGGCTCTGACAGGCGCCTCAGCCCCCACCCAGCTTTTCCATCTGCCGTACTCCGTTAAAATTTCCCTTCTATGGGAAGCCTACCTATAACGGGTTGAATAGTGGCCCCCAAAAGATATGTCCAAGTCCTAACCCTCAGTGCTTGTAAATGTGACTTTATTTGGAAATAGGGTCTTTGTAGATGTAATTAAGTTAAGGAATTCAAGATGAGATCATCTGGATTAGGGTGGGTCCTAAATCCAATGATGGGTGTTCTTGTAAGAGGCAGAAAAGGAGAAGACAACACAGGGAAGAAGGCATGTGAAGATAGAGGCAGAGATTAGTGTGATGTGTCTACGTGTCAAGGAACACCAAGGATTGCCAACAACCACCAGAAGCTAGGAGAGGGGTATGGAACAGATTCTCCTTCTGAGCCTCAAGAAGGAACCAACTGTGCTGACACTTTTATTTTTGGACTCCTGGCCTCCACAACTGTTAGAGAATAAATTTCTGTTTTTTTTAAGCCGCTCAGTTTAATTTGTTAAATTTTTAATTTGTTATGGCAGCTTTAGGAAACTAATACAGATTTTGGTACTGGGAAGTGAGGTGCTGATGCAACACCTAAAAATGTGAAAAATGGCTTTGGAATTGGGTTGTAGGTAGATGCTGGAAGAATTTTGAGGCATATGATTGAAAAAGCCTAGATTGCCTTGAAGAGACAGTTGGTAGAAATATGAATGTTAAAGGCAATTCTGGTGAGGGCTCAGGAGGAAGTGAAAAGCAAAGTAGAAAAAGTTTATCATCTTAGAGAATACATATATTGTTAGGAACAGAATACTGGTAGAAATATGAATGTTAAAGGTGCTTCTGGTGATGTCTCAGAAGGAACTGAGGAACATGTTATTGGAAACTGGAAGAAAGGCAATCCTTGTTATAAAGTGGCAGAAACTAGGTTGAATTATGTTCTACTGTTGAGTGGAAAGCAGAACTTATAAGTGATGAAGTTGGATATTTAGCTAAGGAGATTTCCAAGCAAAGTGTTAATGGTGCAGCGCAGTTTCTCCTTGCTGCTTATAGTAAAACGTGAGAGGAAAGAGGTAAATTGAGGAAGAAACTGTTAAGCAAAAAAGAACCAGTATTTGATTTTGAGAGTTTCTCAGACTATCCAGATTGCAAAGAATGCTAAAATCAGGAAATTCACTGTGGAGAAAGTGTGCCCTGGAGAGAAAGCCAAGGGTGTATCTGGACAACCTTTTGCTGAAGAGATTATGTGTGTGACTTATAGATCCAATCAACCATCTCAGCAGAAGCCAGGAATAGAGATGGGGTTATCCAGCAAGGATCTGTGGAGAACCCTCTTGTCTAATGGCATGGATCCCCTTGACATACACAGGAGACCCACAAGGTTTTTGATGACATTATATCAGCAAAAACACTGCCAGCCTGGACTCAAAGAAACACATGGCATGAAATCACAAAAAGAGGTTGGACTTCTGAGATTCTATAGGCAGGAAATGGGCTAATAGAGCAAGTCAGCTGCAAACATGTGGTATGTTTCCAGAAATGAAAAAAAAAAAAAAATGATTCTGAGGGCAGACAGGACTACAGATGCAGAGGTAGAGGCCAGAGGTGGGGGCTGATGGAGCCTCCATGGGCCCAGAGGGCAGAGCCTCCACAGGACCAGAGAGCAGAGGAGCAAGCTATGAGTATTATTCTCAGGCCTTAAAACCTAATGGAATTTGTTCTGCTGAATTTTGAATTTGCTTGGGATTGGTGATCCCTTTATTTCTTCCAGTCTCTCCCTTTTGAAATGGGAATGTCTACCCTATGCCTGTCCCACCATTGCATTTTGTAAGCAGGCAACTTATTTTCTAGTTTCCCAGGTCCACAGATGGAAAGGAATTTTGCCCCAGGATTGATCATACCCATAGTCTCACCCATACCTGATGCAGATGATTTCGATAATAAGATTTGGGACTTTTGAAACGATGCTATTTAGATGAGATTTTAGACTTAGAGTTGCTGCTGTAATGGGTTGAGACTTTTGGAAATGTTGGAATGGGGTCAATGTGTTTTCCAAGTGGGAATGGACATTTCTTTTGGAGGGCCAGGGGGCAGACTACTGAGTGTTGAATAGTGGCCCCCAAAAGATATGTTGAAGTCCTAACCCCCACTACCTGTAAATGTGAACTTATTTGGAAATAGGGTCTTTGCAGATGTAATGAAGTTAAGAAGCTCAAGATGAGATCATCCTGGATTAGGGTGGGCCCTAAATCCAATGATGGATATCCTTATAAGAGGCAGAAAAGGATAAAACAACACAGGGAAGAAGGCATGGGAAGATAGAGGCAGAGATTGATGTGATGTGTCTATGAGCAATGGAATGCCAAGGATTGCCAGCCAACAAACACCAGAAGCTAGGAGAGGGGAATGGAACAGATTCTCCCTCAGAGCCTCCAGAAGGAACCAGCCCTGCTGACACCTTGGTTTCAGACTTCTGGCCCCCACAACTGTGTGAGAATAAATAAAACTAGGTGTTTTAGCCACCTAGTTTGTGGTGGTTACAGCAGCCATAGGAAAGTAATACACTGCCCTGAGTCAGCACATTTGACTCTGACCACTGATTTTCACTTTACTCCCTCCTTTGTAAGTCATCCACTGGCACACTATAAATATGTTATATGTCTTTGTATCTTTACTATGCATGCTTTCCTTGTTCCTTGACAAGTCTTCCTGAAGGAGAACTCCTCTGGTGGGGCTATTGCCCCTCCTCCTGCTTGTTCTACCTTTCTCCCCCAGCCCTAGGTTCCTTGAACAGTAGTGACAGATGGGGAGACACAGGCCCCTGGGCACCCAGCCCTGCTCAAGCCCACGCAAGCTCTCAGAGCCTCGGATAGGTACTTACCCGGGAGGCTAGTCCATTGGTGAGCCCATTGGCACTCCTTCTCACCACTGTTTTTGGGATTACCTCTTCATCAGTGGGTGACTTTGTTCGAGGGGGAACAATGCCAACTGCACGGAGACAGAAGAGGCTGCTTTTCAGAGAGAGGCTCAGTCCTGCCCCCATGGAGATTAAAGGCCAGGGTAGGTAGGCACTCTCTTTGGGTGCAAATGAGCACCCGGGGCTCCTCTCTCAACCCCTAGCCCTATTTCTAGGGGTGAATGGGGTAAGAAGTACCTTTGTTGAGAGCTGCCTGCTTGTCCGCCTCCACCTCTTGCCTGGTAGGCACAAGACTGATATCTCTGGGGATGTCCAGGGGTGATGTCTGGTGAGGATCTTTTTTGCTTTGCTCAGAGTTTGCCTTGGGCTGGGAAGAGAAAATGAGAAGATGGTTGTTGCTAGAGTGGCTGTCAGGCATTTGGCCCCTGGTGATGTTTCTTTGTTTTACAGTGGTTGAAGCTCAAACCCTTGAAGACACAGGGTACAGGGAAACTCTACGTGTTCCAGCGGGGAAGTGGGTGGGGATACACTGAAGCCTACCACCCACATCACTTTAAGCTGGCCAGTGCTGGGCCATCTAGGGGAATAAGGTTTCAAGGCCCATGAAAAAGTCCGTTCAACCCAACCAGTTCTCTTAGCAACCACTGGGAAACACAGAGTTGCCATCAGCCAGAGTCAAGGAATGGCCAGTGGAGGGGGCTCCAAGCCCAAGGGTCTCTGAGTCTGTCAGGATTCCACACAAGACTTGAGCAAAGAGAACCCAATGGGCCTTGGTACCAGAATTTTAGGGTGGGGGGTAAGGAAAAGGGCATTCAGATCCATGGGACCAGAAGAGACCTCAGGCATCATCTAAACTATGGCCTCCCATTGTACAGTTGAGTAATTTAAGTCTCAATGAGGAGAATGCAGTAGAAAGAAGGCTAGGCCAGAGGTCACAAACTTCAGTTCTAGCCCAACTAGAGAGGACAGGTGAGTCTGTAAAGTCAGGGTAACATTACCTGCTTTACCCACCTCATCTGGTAAACCCTCAAGGGTTATCCATATTATCAGTAGCTAGTCTAGATGAGAATCTAGGTCTCCCAATTTTAGGCACAGGACTCTTTCTACTCACTAGGTAACCTCTTCCAAGCCTAACTGCACATCTCTCCTGGATCCTGGCTAGGGATCCAGGCAAGAGAAAGAACCATAATAGGGGAGAAAAGAGCCTATATCCTAATACTCCAGGGGCTCGTGAGACCCAAAGCGGATGTGAGGCAAGGCAGAGACAGAGAGAAAGAATAAAGGAGGACTGAGGTCAGAGGTGGGTAAGACATAGGAAGGGATTGGAATGGCACCGGTGGGGATCATTCCATTTCCATTGGCTGGTCATGCTGGCAGAGGTGGGGCATACCACTACCACCCACAACCTCTGGCTGCCCATGAGTCACCTACAACCATTGGCTGCCCATCACCCACAACCGTTGGCTGCATACCACTCACAACCATTGGCTGCCCATGAGTAGGGCAGCAGCTCATTTTCCTATTGTCCACAGAAAGCAAAAAGGAGAAGGAGAACCTGTGTGGCTGTCTCAACCATCCCACCCCTTATTGCTGGGTCCAGCTGGGGAAAATAATATTCGAATGGGGAAAATGACTCCTTTACTCTAGTACCCTGCCTTGGCCCCAGACTAGCCCTTTGCCCATCCCTCTGCCCCCACCCTCCAGGAACCAAGGGTGCTGGGTACCTGACCCCTGGCTGTCTCGCCACTGCGGTGCCAGGAAGGGGAGTTGGGGTATGGCCAGAAACGGCTCTCGTTAGGGAGTGGAGGGACGGTTGGAGGAGACTCCAGGGGGACGTAGGCTTTGGGGAGGGGAGGCCGAGGCGGGCCAGATTCCTGAGGCAGAGAGAAGCCAGAGCATTAGGAGGAACAAGAGCAGCCACTGTGAGAGCAGGAGAAAAGAACGTTAGCAGGAGGCAGACAACAACATGGCTGCAAACTGGGAGTGGGTCTCTGGGACCACCCACCCTGGGCCTGGAGGGAGCTTCAGCCCCAGAGCTAGCTCTCCACCTGGCCTTCAAGGCCCTCCTCAGTTGAGACCCCCCACCTGTCTACTGTTCCTCATTGCTCCCCAATACAGATTTCTCCAGAGTGTTCCCTCATTTTCTCACCATCATGCTGGGCATATTCCTACCCCTGTGCCTTTGCTCCCACAATCCCTCCTGCCTGCAATGCCTTTCCCTTGTTCCTCTACAATCCAAATTCTGTATTTTTTTAAATTTTTTATTGTTGTAAAAATATACACAACATTTGCCGATTCAACATTTTTCAGGTGTACAATTTAGTGATACATTAATCATGTTGTGCAACCATCACCCATAATCATTGCCAAATTTCCCATCATCATAAACAGAAACTCATTGCTTTCTAGACAATGACCCACCCCTTCCCGTCCTCCCACCTCTGGTAACCACTAATAAACTTTGGTCTCCAGATATTTGCCTATTCTTGTTATCTCACATGACTGAGATTACACAATATTTGTCCTTCTGTGTCAAACTTATTTTATTCAACATAATGTTTTCAAGGTTCATCCATGTTGTGGCATGCACCAGGACTTCATTTCTCTTTATGGCTGGGCAGTATTCCATTGTATGGATATGCCATATTTTGTTTATCCATTCATCCTTGGATGGACATTTAGGTTGTTTCCACCTTTTGGCTACTGTGAATGTGCTGCAGTGAATACTCTCCAAAGTGTTACTGGCCCAGTTTAAGTTACAGCCTCCTTTCCTAGTCAGTGATCCACACCCCCTTTGAAACATCAGAGTATTTACAGTCTGAACCATATGGTTCAATACTGGACATACACCATCATGTTCTACAGGCTGGTTGTTTACTGTGATTGTATCTTGATTCCCCACTGGATTCTGGGCTCTTTGAGTGAGAGGCTGGTGGCGTGTGTATCTTTCTGAAAGGGCCTCGTGCCATCTCTTACCCATAGTGGAGCCTCTGTAAATAATTGCTGGTTGACTAACTAAGAACCTGCTCCTCCCTACAGACCCTCAACCCTCTCACCCTCTGGAAAAATCCTAGCTTTAAGTTCCTATTAAGTGTTTGGTATCTTTGCTTCCTGGTGCCCAGGAAGACACTTCCCTGAGAGGATGCTAAAGAAGACAGATGGAGATGAGATCAGAAAAGGGGAGATCTGGGGGGAAGGTCACAAAACTGGGAGTGAGAATGACTACTTTAAACAAAGCTAAAGCACTCGGCCTGGTGTTGTTTCAGGCAAAGGAGGCCCTGGGCCCTGCCCTCCCCCACCTACCTTCTACTCCATCTTCTCAGCTTACCTCATTGGATCCGGGCTTGGTGGGGGACCCCTGAGAGCCAGACACCAGTGAAAAGGGGCTCAGGGGGCTGGTGAGGCTGGCGGAGCTGAGAGGGCTGGCTGGGCTGTTGGAGCTGTAAGTGGCTGAGGGGCCACCTCCTTGGGAGAAACAGAAAACAGAAGAGGGGAGAGCTGAGGGAGGAGTAGGGGTGTGGCCTGGTGTGAGGACGAGCACTACAGGGGGAGGAAAGAATCAGACCCAGGGATATGGGAAGGAGGATTTAGTGTCTCAGATCCCCCAGGTCTACTGGAGGACATATTGCAGGTGCAGGGGTCACAGGCTGGCTGTTGAGAGGTGTGCTGGGCAGGGAAAGATGGTGGATGGACATGACACTGTTGCCTCTGAGGTGTTAAGGAAAGCCAGCCTGAGGTTGCAGGCCTCAAGGAAGACACTAAGATAGTGATCACCCATCACCAGTGGGCCTGTGCGCTTGGGGGCCCAGGTGCTCTTTGACCTTTTCTGGGGAGGAAGGTAGAGCATCAAGGTCAACAGTGTTTCTGAGTGGTCTATCTAGTCTGTCTGTGGGAGAGGACAGATAAGGGAGAATCCTACCTACCATCCTGGGACCCAGAGAAGATTCTGGAGTCCTGAGAAGGCCTCACTGGCTCTGAGCAGTGTGAGCGCCTAGAAAGGGGTCAGCTGGTGGGTGTGGGGTGGAGGCCAGGACCCCCGGAGGCTGGCTGAGGAGCCACCCACCTCTGTGCTTGGCCGTGTCTGTGCCCCGGGATGGGTTATTCTTCCTCAGCCCCTCCATCACGTCCTGGATCCTCCAGATCTCCTTCTGGATTTGCCGGTTGAGCACCTCATTCTGGAACAGCCAAGGAGCAAGTCAAAGAAAGGCGCTGCCACCGAGTGTCCCAATCTTGTCTCCTTAGCAGGGAGCTTGGGCGTCTCTGGACCCACGTCCCTTTGGACCAGCAGTAGGCAGGAGCACACACGCAGACACACTCACAACACACACATATACATGCATACACACTCACATAATATACACACATATACATTCACACACTCACATAATATACACATATATACACTCACACACATACACACACTCAACACATATACACACATACACACTCACATAATATACACACATATACATTCACACACTCACATAATATACACATATATACACTCACACACATACACACACTCAACACATATACACACATACGCACTCACATAATATACACACAGTCACATACATATACACACATACATACACACTCACGGCATACACATATACAATATACGCACATACACACATACACTCACGATACACACATATACACTCATACATATACACACACTCACAACACACACATACACAACACACACACATACACATACATATACACACATAGCACACATACACACAGCACACACATATATAATACACACACATACATACACACATACACATATGCACTCACACACAACACACACACACATACACACTCATACATATACACACATAGCCCACATACACTCACACACACAGCACACACATATACAGTAAACATACATACACTCACACACACATACACACATTCACACACACACTCCTTGCCAGGGCACTCATCTTTCTCATGGGCAGCCTCTGCTTCTTGGGCTTCTACCAAACAGTATTCCAGTTGCCAGAGGAGGGGGCTGTGCTATTACAGTAAAGAGCCCCTGAGATAAAAACAGGGCCTCAGAACTAAGAGAGAGTGCGGATGTCCTTCTGAGTCCCCCCAGGGAACATCAGGGTGGTCTCAGCGTGAAGGCCCCTCTCAGTGGACTTTAGGGCGGCCTATTGTCCAGGGGGCGAGAGCTTCCAGTTTACTGTCTTCTTCCACATCCAAACAGCCCTTTTGCAATACCCACACCCACTGCATAGTCATGAATTATATCCAATCACAGTTTATATTCTGAGAAATAATAAGTACCATTTATTTAGCATCGCTGTGTGCCCAGCACTGTGCTAAGTGCTCTGCACACAGTATCTCACTGAGGCTGTGTGTCAACTCTACCAGACAAGAGCTGCAGTTAACACCATGGGAGAGATGAAAAGGAGACTCCTGCCTGAGACCATATATTTCATGAGTAGCGTGACCACTTTTGAATCTGGGTCTATTTGACTCAAAATCTGCTGCTCTTCACCACAATGTTTTCCTACCTCCTGGAATATTTGTTTCAAGTGAGGCTTGGCCACAGAACATGGCGGTATTCATACTTTCAATTCCCCTTACCACTGCAAAGCTGGGGTAGTGAGTTTGTTACCGGGAGGGAAACAGGAGGAGAAGAGGGAAAACCAAGGTGTTAACGGCATCAGAGAGACAGGGCATGCAAAACCAGTTAGAGAAGAGGCAGGTCCTGGGTAGAGAAAAGACAGGGAAGCAAAGAACAGGAATTCCCCAAGATCAGACGTGTCCGTCCTCCTGTTTCTAACCCATCTGGAAAGGAAAGCTCTTTCCTATCTTAAAATTCCTGAATAGAGTGCTCCTGTAAGCTCATCTGGTACATTTATCTCTGTAAAACAAACAGACTCCAACTCATGGCGACCCTATATGCATGAGAGTAGAATTGCGCTTCAAGGGTTTTCAATGGCTGATTTTTCTGGAGTACATCACCAGACCTTCCTTCCAAGGCATCTCTGGGGGAACTTGAACCTCCAGCCTTTTGGTTAGTAGCCAAGAGTGTTAACGGTTTGCACTACCCTGGGACTCCATACACGTCTATACATCTAACCTAAATCCTCCATGCTTCAGCTTCAGCTCCTTCCCCTGTGACCTCACAAGAAGAGTTCCATACTATCTTCATCCTGAAACTTAAAGTCAATTTTAAGTGGTCCTCAGTCTTCTCTTCTGTCTCAGGACCAATTCCTAGTCCTAAATCTCTGAGATCTCTATGATGAGAAAGGAAGCCAGTCTGGTCTCTTTTGTGGGGCCCAGACCACATACCAACCAACCCTTACTTGCCCAGGAGCCCTCTTCACCTGGATGTCCAAATTGAGCTGCTCCCAGAGGTCATCGTGTAGGGCAGAGACCTCCGACTCGAGGTTCTCATACTCTATGGTGCTGTTTGTTAGGGCCTGCAAGGAGGAGGGGGGGTACTGAGAATACTGCCATCGCCAAAGCATCCCTCCTTGTCCTAGGAAGGGGCCCACAGCTAGGCCTGGGGAGAAGGGCCCGGAGGACAGCAGAGAGGGCCACAGGGCTGGGACACTGAGGGAGAGCCAAACACTGGCCTTACAAGAAGTACAATTGCCCGTCCTACCGTCTTTGGTGAGTAGTTGCAAACCCAAATAAAGAGAAAGCAGAGTCCTCTCCAGATACATGCACAGGCTGAAAGGGGTAATATTACCCCCACAAAAACCAGTTGCCATGGAGCTGATTCTGGTTCATGATGACTTGATGTGTGTCATGGTACAACTGTGCTCCATAAGGTTTTCAATGGCTGATTTTTTAGAAGTAGTTTGCCACGCCTTTCTTCCAAGGTACCTCTGAGAGGGCTTGAATCTCCAACCCTCCAGTTAGCAGCTCAGAGCTTTAACCATTTGCACCACCCAAGGACTCTCATACCCAGCCTGTACTCCCAAAGTCGGGGAAAAAGAGTGGGGGGCAAAAAGAAAACAGCCTGAAGGAGATGTTTGTTCTCTGGAATTGGAGACGTTTCTCCTTTCTGGGCCACGTTTCCCTGGAGCTTTCACTGCTGCCTCTTAGAGCTATTATCTGCATAACCTGTGTTGGAGAACCTGCCCTATCCCTACCAGGAAATGAGCAGGGCAGCAGCATTTCCACCAGGGACCTAGGCATCCAGGGGAGAGGACAGAAGTGGGCATCAAGGGGTTAGCGCGGCCAAGGAAATAAGTAGGCCTCGTCTTTGTGCTGTTCTGAATGCATCCAGTACGTACGTCATTTGTGGGAATAAGCCGTTTCCCCGGTGGAGACTCCATGGAAGGAGCAGGCTGGTACACTAGCTGTCTATTTGCAAGGCAGCATGGAGGTCTTTGCTGATGCCCTTCCCAGGCAGAAGCACCCTACTCTTGCCCTCAGGAAAGAATCTGGATCTGGACAGCACAGCCTGGGAAGGGGTGGGTGGCTCTCCTGGCTGGGTGCTGCCAGGGAGATGGGGGGTGGCGGGTAAAGGTGGTGGGTGGAACACAGGCTGGCTCCATGGTTACCGTGGTCGCCTGAGACAGCTCCCCCCGGATGTTGATGAGCTGGTTCTGCAGTGATTCCTTCCTGTGCAGTAGCTTCTCGGGGTAGGTGGGCTGGCTCCCAAACATCTCCAGTTCCTGGTGGGTTCCCATCAAGGCACTTTCCAGGCTCTCCTGAGAAAAGGAAAGGGGAGCAGCTGGGAGCAGCTCTGATAACTCCTTTCTGGGTTTTTTAACAGCGGAGGCCCGAGAAATCTGAGGCAGTGTAGTGGAGGTTGTCCTCACACTGGCTAAGCTTCCTAGGAGAGCTTCAGTGGTTCTGATTAAGGGCAGAACCAAAGTCGAAGGAAGGACAAAGACCTCAGCTTAGTCAGGATGGAGAGAGCAGCCCAGGACCTGCTCCAAGCCAGCACTACCCACCTGCCCCAACTCAAGACCACCCCAGGCTCTCACCTTCTCAGCTCGGAGCTGCTGCACCAGCCGGTCCTGCTCCCTCACCACCTTGTTCTGCTCACACAATTTGCCCAGCAGCTTCTGGAGTCCCAAGAGAGTAGGAGGGGAAGGAGAAAGAAAGGGATGAAGGACATGGTCTGATGGGGACCTGGAACTGTGTTGGCAGGGCCTGGCCTCTGGATACCACCTCCTTTCCCTGCTGAGAAGCCCTGGCCTTCACTTTGACCTTAGAGGACCTACTTGTCCAGGCTCTTGGGAACAGGAAGATGGGTCTCCATCTCAGAGGGGAGACTTGCCAAGGCCCCATTGGGAGGGGAGATGTGTTTAACCTCTGAGGAAATGAGTCAGGTTGTGGATCTGCCTGCTGGGCAGATTCACAACCAAGGCAGGGCCAGCGGTGATGGCGAGGCAGGTTAAGCCAAACTTCTGTTGTAGAAAGACTTGTGCTTTTCTGCATCCACATTTGTATTTGTGCCATTCCTCAAATATCCCCTTTGTCCTTCTTTACTGAGCCACGTCTCACCCTCTGGCATTTTAACTTCAAGGCCCAGGTCACACGCTACCTGTTTTGTCCCTGACCCACCAGCTCACTGGGTCTTGCTCCATGCCCTCCTGAAGAACCTTCTGTTGGTCCCATTCATTGTATATGAATCATATGCTGCCATCTGGCATCTCCCCCTATCCTGCCACTCCCTAAGGGCAGGCGCAGGACCATATTCTTCTTTCTGGTTACCTGCAAGGTCTAATGCCATGCTGGGCACAGGGTAGACTGACCGATTTATCTCCCAACAAAGTCTGTACTCCTGTTATAAGAAGATCCCACTGCTGTAGACAAGAGGGCCTAGAGCTCAGTGGAGTAACATGTGTAGCCAGTGTGGGAGGTAGGGGTGAGCAGGCGGTAGGAAAGAGAAAAGAAGGGGGCTGAGAAGGGAGTAAGCAAAATGCTGTCTTTGTGATAGGAGAGGACATGAATCAAATGTATGAGGAGCCACCAGACGAGAGAGAGAGAGATGGGCAGAGGACAAGCCCCCCGGAGGAGAGCATGGATGAGCACGACAGCAGGAGGCTGGAGTGGACAGAGGGAGCAGGGAGAGCTGCTCTTACATCTGTATCTTGCTCGTTTAACTTGTAGGTGTGGAGGCTGTCCCGGAACACTTCTGGGTACGAAGGGACCTGCAGGAACATGAGGTCGGTTACTGCAGCAGGGGCCGGAAAAGGGTGAGGGAAGAAGCGAGAGCGCTGACATCACAACCTGTACTCCCCTCTTGCCAGAGACCATGGTCCTTCATCTCCAGTGGCTTCTGTTCTACGGACCTGAGCTGAGGTAATTCTCTGTCCCCTGGCTGGAAAGCCTGGGATGTCCCGGCCAAGACGCAATCCCAATTGTCCAATTGTCCTAGGCTGGTTATGGGGATATCTCAGAGACTCTGCTCTGCACAGGCTCAGCATTCCCTCTCCCCTGAGCTCTAGAATCTACTACCAAGAGGGACTCCAGGGGTGGGTAGCTTCTGGGTGGTTTGTTGGTAACAACCATGAGAAAAACAGTTAACCCCTTGGTTGTTCTAACATGGACATGGGAGTATGGTAGGAGTGAGTGTCAGAAACATTTGAGAACTACTTCTGTAGTAGATAGAACACTAGTTAGAGCTCATGCCTAAACAGGATTGGCTAGAACCCAGAAGCATCTCTGGATCCAGCAAATGCTGCCCAGCCTTGAAGGCCCATCCCATAACCACATAACATTCTATACAACTTTGGTCCCATATCACACCCCTCATACCCTTAACCCCAACGATGACTGTCAAGAAGACAGCAAATATAAAGCAGAAGCCCTGGACATTAAAAAGCAGATTTGCAATCCCTGGCATGGCATGAGATGTTGGTGCTGACTTTTTTGATGGTTTGGGAAATGGGCCTTGGGTTTACCCATGAAAGTGAAGAATGGAGGAGACACAGTGGAATTAAGGGAGGGAGACTAGGCTTAGGCTGTCTCCAGGGGAGATGAGGCCTGCAGATGAGCGGGTTGGGTGGAGCAAGCCCCACCCCAGATGGGTTGACCCGACCATGCACAAGCAGCTTAGATGGCATTGACAGTGACCATGCTGCCAGGCAGAGGTCTTACTTGCATGAAGAGTTGGGCCCTGGGGGAAGAGTTTTCCACCATGCGGTTCACCATACTGATGAGAGTCTCGCTCTCACTCATCTGCAGCAGAGGAAGGAACGGATGATTCAAACTCAGATGCACATACATCTCCCCCCACACAGGCCTGTCTCTGCTGGTTTATAGGAGACAAGAAAGGGCTGCTCCTCCTGGAGCCTTGGCACCCTCTGTTTGAACTCGCCCATCTCTCACCCCTTGTGAACTGTCTCGGGACCAGCACTGAAGCTGCCCCCGAGGAAAGGCAGTGAATGGAGCTTCGAGGCCACCATGCCCTTGCTCACAGCACTAAAGAGGCCCCAGCCCAGTGACGTCTCCCTGCATGCTTGACTGTTGTGGGTCTCATCCACCTCGGCCAAGGTGGTCATCTCCTTGCCCCAGCTCTCATTTCTCACACTGCTTTGGTCAAAGACTGAATGGGGAGTTTGAAAGGCTGCTCTCCCACAATTTGAACTAAATGAAACAATTCAAAAAGAAAACCCAGGACCTGCTCTTTGGATGGATCTTCACAAATACATAGGTACAGGCCCCTCTCCCCAAGCCCCGCCCACCCCTTGGATCTAGAGTAGAAAGGATTGCTAAACACGGTTTCCAGAGCTGGGCTGTTAGCATCCATGACGATCTTGGATGACGCTAGGGAGCAAATAAGGAGGCCAGAACAAGCAAGCCAGATTAAAGGGACATCAGCTATCAGAACACTGCTCTCCACACACATTAGCTTTATATTTCAAGGGTTACAGGAACATGGAGGGGGAAAGACTATTTGCCAAATGAAAAAAGAAAGGAAGAGAGAAGGGGAGGGGAGAAACAGACAAGGAAGGCCAACCAAACCAACCAGAAATGCCATCATTTCCCCACACTGGCTGCAGAGTGAGAGCATCAAAAAGCAAATTGGTGATGTCCTTGGCTGTGTCCCTTTAACTCAACTGTTCTAAAGGGGAAGGCAGCAGAAGACAGAAGGGGTGTGTAGGGAACATCTTTTGAGAGGGGAAGTGAGTGAGGGAAGAGAGGACGGGGCATCTTGGGGAAGACCTTGCAGGGGTCACAGGTAGGGGGCTCCCCATGTTCTCAGCCATTATTGACCCAATCTTGGTTGGCCCCACGCCGTCCGCTTTCTTCCTCTTATCCCTTTTAGGCAGTAGCCCAAACACAGCCTTGCTTCCACGTACTGTACACAAGGCCCGGGGCATCCACCTACCCTCATCTGCAGGGCCCGCAGCATTTTTAAGGGCTTTTGCAGGGTCTGACTGGTCTACCTCTTAAAGCAGTTGTTTTTCCTATGGTATAAATTTTGACTGAAATAGCTTTCAAAAGAGCAGTTGTAACATGAGGTTGAGTCTTTGTAAAAGAGTTAAAAGTTAACAAGACATCAACCACATTCTCCATAAGGATCCACACTCAACTTTATTTCTAGTTTCTTGGAGTGCATGTGTGCACGCGTGAGCGTGTGTGTGGTTGTGTTTATTGTATGGGTGTTTGGCATGTGTGTACATGTGTGAATGTATATAGTGTGGTGTATGGCATACGTGTGTGTGTGTATGTTTATGTCTGCTGCCTGTGTCTCATGGCCATGCCCTGTGTGTGGTGTGTTTGGATTGTGAGTGTGAGTGTATGTGTGTGTGGTGTGTATGGAGGGGGGTACATGTGTATACAGAGGAAGGAACAAGGCAGATCTACCAACCCACTAGGCTCTGAGAAGACAAGGGAGGCCAGGCTCTTTCTGGGCACCCACTGATCTCATTCCTTTCTAAACCAGTGGATCCCAAGCAATCAAGGTCAGGAATGTTCTCACCCTGGTCTACTCCCACCCACACTGTGGCTTTGGGGATCTCTCAGCCCACAAGGGCCTTGCCTCTAAGAAGACTGCCCTGTGCCACCTCTTAGTTCTCCAAAATGTTAGAGAAAATATGTGAGAAAGCATCTAACTCAGTGCTCTATACATAGTAAGTGATGCTCAGTTAATACTTGGAGTTTTGGAAGAAAAAATATAATAGCAGCCATCACCACTCCTCCACCAAGGCCTGACAAGTGTTCTCATATACATTCTCACTTGATTCTTCCAAGAACCCTGTGAAGTAGAAAGGGCAGGTTCTACCATGTCCATTTTATGATTGAGACTACAAAGGCCCAGAGAGACTACCTGACATTTCCAAGGTTGTTTTTTGTTTTTTGTTTTTTTAAATGTCCCTGTAAATGGCAGAGCAGGAACTAGAGTGCAGTATTCTGACTATGCAGTCTAGATTCTTCTCATCACACCAAACTACCTTTTAAGATATTACCCTTTATCTAGGAGGAGGTCCTTCAAAAGGTTATTTCTGAAGTCCCCGGACTAATGGCCCAGCCCCTCTTTGAGGACAAAAGCCCCCAGGAAGGAACCCCTCTGTCTTCATTGAATGTTTGGACAGCAGGCATGGTGGACGGAATAGACAGCCAGCCAGAGGCCTGGGTGGTGTAAACAGTTAAAGCTCTAAACTACTGACTGAAAGAGGTTCAAGTCTACCCAGAGGTACCTTGGAAGAAAGGCCTGGTGATCTACTTCCAACAAACCAGCTATTAAAAACTCTATGGAGCACAATTCTACTCTGATGTACATGGGGTCACCATGAGCTGGAGTCAACTCCATGGCAACGGGTTTGGTTTTGGTTTTTTAGAAAGCCAGCCACACAGGTCACAGTGAGGAAAACCTGCCCAGGGGCCTGCAGGTGGATGGGACCGAGCCCTGCCCCTCACCACTCCAAGGCACTGCAGACCTTGCTTCCTGCTGGGATTATCTAGTGCTTTCCATGCTTGCTCTGGGCTGCCATCCTGAGCTGAGTCCCCACATGGGCTGGAATGCTCACGGCATGAGCACCAAGTGCTGCTTCTGGAACTCCAGTGAAGGCCGTTGAGGGCCTTGCTGATTAAAATACAGCTATCCAGTGCTTCCCAGTGTCCCTGGTCTTCTACACAGGTGATGTCATTTAGACACTGAGGCCCAGTGGGGGTGATGGGGCACATGGCGTGTGACTACAAGAACCAACAGTCACAGCTACATCCTCTGATTTCACGTTTATGGTTCTTTCTACAACTTTTGAAAGAACTCCTGATGAGGTCCAGCCCCAGTTTCTTCACATGTGAGATAGTTCCTCAGCTGTAAGATGGGTCAAGAGCTCGGGCTCTAGAGTCACCTTCCAGGCTCTGCCATTTTCTAGCTAAGAGTCCTTCCCAGGTCACTTAGCCTCCCTATGCCGTAGCTTCCTCAGCTGTACCCCGGGGGTAACAACAGCGATCTCCCTTGAAGGGTCGTTACAAAGGTTAAACGAGTTAGAATCTGTGAAGTGCTTAGAA